CGCGTGCGCGCGCGCTCGGCTCGCCCACGTGGGTTTAAAGAGACACCAAAGACAAAGATCCCCCGTATGGCGCCGGCAGACGGTTGGAGCAAGTGCTGTTAGCGAGTAGCACCTTTGAAGCCTGGTACGGCACACGAGGGAGTGGGTGGCCAGCAACCACGCCCGTCACCTCCTTCGTCTCCGCAGTGGCGATGTGTTTAATGCACACCGCACACAGGTACTCATTTGAGACCGAGTCGACCTAGGGGAGGTCCAGGACCGGTTCAGATAATCGTCACCGGCGTTGGCCGTGAGCGGGAATCGAACTCGGGTCGCCGGATTCGTTGCGCAGCGCGCTAACCGCTGCACCACCGCTCCACCATCACGCCCCCCCCCCCCCCCCCAACGAAGTGGGGAGGCTGCCCTCTTATCCTGGTAGTGGGGATTGACAAAAGTGGTTCAGATTCATATCGAGCAGTTTTTATAACTTTGGGTAAAGTTTGCCCGATATACATACATGATTTATCGAGGTGCCATTGTATCGACCAACTTCCACGCGCCCACGGGCGCTTGCACGCGGCTGCGAACAGCTGGATACAAAGAGGGCCACTGCGATTATTCGTGCCCGCCCAAGTGGTGCGGAGGGCAGGGGTGGTGGGTAGTTCACGTGGGAGCGCGTTTGTCTTTGGTGTCAGCGACGCAAATGTTACGCACAGATGTGCCATCATTCACGCCGATCGCCGGCACTCTGTCACGAGTTTCAGCCGGAGAGGTTCATGCACTCCTTGAGCCGACGATACCCCGCAGCACAAATGAGTTCAAGTGAAGATCTGTTTCGTGTTTAACGCGGGCATTGTTGATTCACAGTTCATGTTGGTGACATTGTCGTGTGGATATCATGTAGAGTTGAAGCGTAACCCTCCACCACCAGACAGCGGCAATCACAAAGTTCGTCACGTGGGCGCACCTATGCAAAGCGAACAGAGTTTTTTGTTAATTCTGTCCGACGTTTCGCTGCTCCTCCCGCGGGCGTTCTTGATGTCCTGGTGGGACTGTGGCACAGTGGTGAGTGCCCTGCGCAATTAACCCGGCATCCTGAGTTCGATTACTGGTAATGGCTCACGTAAGTGGCAAGTTTATACCTGAACCGGTCCTGGGCCTCCCTCTTCACCAATCCACGTTGACGAGTTTGGTGAAGTTTCTGGTCAAAACTACCCCGATGACCGGTATGAGGTGGAGGAGGCCTTCATCCAGCAGTGGAGTGACAAAGGAAAGCAATAATTACTTTAAATTACACCATTGAAACCTCATTTGCCAGTAAAAAATATGATAATTGTTTTTTTTACCCTTCTATCTGGCAACAAAACTGACACGTTTGTCTTACAAGGAGTCATGTTTGCATAGACCACAATACCTGCAGTCATAATGCAAAAAAAAACATAACTCTGTATGCACTGTCCTTGAAGTTGATTGGTCCACACCCGAGACAGATTTCCTTAGAGCCTAGTCTCACATGGTGTTGGACCAGATGACGCCAAAAGGTGCACAACTCAAATACAATGTACCATCAGAGTATGAGAGCTCGGGGTAAGCATTTACACCATTGGAACCTCATTTGCCAGTAAAAAATATGATAATTGGTTTTTATTATTATCATATTTTTTACTGGCAAATGAGGTTCCAATGGTGTAAATGCTTCACCCCGAGCTCTCATACTCTGATGGTGTATTGTCTTTGAGTTGTGCGCCTTTTGGCGTCATCTGGTCCAACACCATGTGAGACTAGGCTCTAAGGAAAGCTGTCTCCGGTGTGGACCAATCAATTTCAAGGACAATGCATATATTATCAGAGTTGTGTTTTTTGTTTGCATTTTGACTGCAGGTATTGTTGTCTATGCAAACATGACTCCTTGTAAAAAAAGGTGTCAGTTTTGTTGCCAGATAGAAGGGTTAGAAACCAATTATCATACTTTAAATGACTCCTAGTCTTCCTCTTACGTGAAGTTCCATAAGTCTGGCGGTGCAGATGTTCTTATACGCAGGTCAACGCGACATAATTCATGAAAACTTTTGGTGGTTATCACCCCAAATATCACCAATCAAAGTCAGAGACACTTACGCATCATGTTATCTTACCACCACTAAAGTCTGGGTGCTTATATGTGGGGGAAACTGTAGCGTGTACACATGTTGAGCGTTTTTCGCACCGTACGTAGATAATCGAAGTACAGTGGTTAGCACACTCCGTCACAAACCCGGCCACCCGAGTTCGATTCCCGATCACGACCAATAACAGTGACAATTATCTTGATTTGAAGCTTTCGTGACTGTAGGAATCCATACTCTTTGGTTCTTTCGGTAAAGTCACGTAGGTAGAAAAATATATATATATAATAATATATTACGACGTTTCGATCGCAACACAAGCGGTCGTCCTCAGGTGCAAACAAATAATCCAGCAGTGGAACTGCTGAAACGTCGTGATATATATTTAGATTTGATTATTTTTCTAGCTACGTGACTTTACCGAAAGAACCAAAGAGTAGTGACAATTATCTTGATCGGGTTCCGGGGCCTATGTGCCGTGCCGACCTTCACTGGTGCTCGCTAACAACAGCATTTGCCCCAACAGGCTGCTAAAGCTATAGTGGAGATGTTGGTCTTGTTTGTTTTAGGGGAGCGGTAGTGTAGCAGTTATCGCGCGACCAGTAACGATTTTCTTGTTTCTTACCGGTCTTGACCCTCCCCTAGGTCGTCCCAGGCTTCAAAAAAATTAGTGCCGGTGCGGTGTGTGAACATCAACAGTGGGGAGACAAATTCGGCCGCGCGTGGTGTGGGCCACGCAAACCGCTTTGTGTGCTCGCTAACAGCACTTGCCAAAGCAGTCTGTTAATTAAAAAAAAGCCTACACGGGGGATCTTTGTCTTTGCGTCTATGCCTCGTCCTCTTCATTTTCTTAAAAATATGTGTTACTCTTTCTTTAACCCCTCCCCCCACCCTCTTTCTCTATTTAAGGCATCGACACAGAGGGCATCGACACAAAGGGTTTCTGTGTGTCTATGTTGTGTGTCTCTATCTGTGTGTCTCTGTGTTGTATCTCTCTGTGTGTCTCTCTCTCTGTGTCTCTGTGTTGTCTCTCTCTCTCTGTGCGTCTGTGTTGTGTGTTTCTCTCTCTGTGTGTCTCTGTGTTGTCTCTCTCTCTGTGTCTATGTTGTGTGTCTCTCTCTGTGTGTCTCTGTATTGTCTCTGTGTTGTCTCTATCTCTGTGTGTCTATGTTGTGTGTCTCTCTCTGTGTGTCTCTGTGTTGTCTCTCTCTGTGTGTCAATGTTGTGTGTCTCTCTCTGTGTGTTTTTGTGTTGTCTCTCTCTGCTTGTGTGTCTGTGTGTCTCCGTGTCTGTGTTTTGTCTCTCTCTCAAATTTAGTTCTACCTGATGACGACTGCTTGTGTTGCAATCGAAACGTCGAACTATATTATTTAATTTATTTTCTTTCTACGACTTTACCGAAAGAACCAAATATATATAATTGTTTTTCCGTAATTTCAATGCATAGTGTACAGACTTTCGCAACAATGCAGTAGTATTCATAATAAATGTGTCGTAGCCCTCCACCACCCGACACGGTCAATCAGCAAAAAAAGTGTCACGTTGACAAAAGACAAATAGTTCACTACTTTAGCCCACCGGTGTGTTGAAGAGTGAAACCACAACATTTACAGCTTTTGAGTACGACGTTTCGCTGGTAATTACATCCAGCATCATCGAGCAATTCGCCAGAATATGATTGATGTTTGGGTCAGATCTCGTCAGTAAAATGTGTGTCGTACACCCTGCTCCACCAGACGAAGCCAGATCGCTAGTTCTCCAACACACTGGCGTGCTGAAGCAGCGATACATCGACAACTTTATGAATTGGCTGTGTTCGGGTGGAGGAGGGTTTACGACACACATTTTACTTACGAGACCTGACCCAAAATCAATTATGAATCCGTGTGCAGCCTTTATTACGCACCGGTTCATTGTTTGAGTGTTCACTTTGCGTCGTCTTTATTTGAATGCAGTGAATGCGATTCTTGCTAACGGCCTCAATGGTTTGCAACACACGCGCACGCAAGCGTGGTTGTGTGTTTTTGGTTATGTGAACTTCGCGCGAGACACAGGTGGTGGTGGTTGTGGTGGTGGTGGCGATGATCACGACGCGTCGCTCTTGTCTCTGTTCGTGTGTCCTCCCACGTGCTCCTGTCGACTTCAGTCTCTCATCTCTTGACGTCTCTCCGCGTGTCACTGCATTTCTCCATACGCCACTCTCCCCCTCTCTCTCTCTCTGTGTGTCATATATCCCACAACATCTCTCTAACTTTCTCTAGCTATGTTACTGACTCATCTTTGTGTGTCTCTCTGTATTTATGCCCGCATCTGTCTTTGTCTCTCCGTATTTCTGCACCGCCCCCCCACTCATGTCTCTCTCTCTCTCTCATTTTACATCTCTCCGCATAAACTTTCTCCAAGTTCGTCGATCTGTCAGTGGGTCCTGTCTCTTCGCGCATCCTCCCTGCATCTCAAAATACACACACACACATCTCTGTCTCTCTCTCACTACACACACACATCTCTGTGTCTCTCTCACTCTCTCACTACACACACACACGTCTCTGTGTCTCACCCTCTCACTCTGCTACCTTCTGCCACTCGTCGTTTTGCCATCCCTCTGTCCGTCTACATCGGTGTTCTTCACGCATTTTCAGAGATGTGGGGGGTGGTCGGGGGGATGGGGCACTTTCGCCGATAAGACATCGTCAGTGTGTGCGCGTCGCCACACGTTTGCAACCATCGGGGTTTGACAGCACGATGATGATGATCATGGGGGGGTATTTTCACTTTTCGCCTTTTGTCGGGGGGGGGGGGGGGCGAACGTCAGGGGCCGCACTAAACTCCACCACGTGGCCCGCGGGCAATGAAGAACACTGCTCTTCATCATCTCTCGTCGTCCTCTACCTGCACCCCCCCCCCCCCCCCCCACAGGCGCTTCGGCCCCAAGTGCGCGGGCTGCTCCCAGGGCATCTCGCCCAGCGAGTTGGTGCGCAGGGCACGCGAGCGCGTCTACCACGTGGCGTGCATGACGTGCGCGCTCTGCGGCAAGCAGCTGCGCACCGGCGAGGAGCTCTACATCCTGCCCGGGGGGGCATTCCTCTGCAAGGAGGACTACCTCGCCTCCGGGCCCCCCCTCGACCCCGCAGCCGCAGCAGCCGCAGCAGCAGCAGCAGCCGCCCACGGCTCGGCCAGCAGCAGCGGCGGAAGCCCCTCGGACGCGGTGCCCCTCCGAGACGCCGGAGTCAGATCGGGTGAGTCGATTCGATTGGCTCCAAAGCAGTGGCGGGGTGATTATCCCAGGAGCAAGAGTAGCTACTTATGTAGTAGCCAATCGCCCCCCCCCCCCCCCCGCGCTAAACGCTTTCAAGCTATCGATTATGGTTCGGTGATTCTGCACTTGCTCTATTACTATAGTACTATACTGCCTTCAACTTGTATGAAGGACTGGGTGTTTAAGGTTATCGATTTGTCGTATTATCTGGCTGTATAGAGAATGAAGAAATACAATTACTTTACTATGCAAGTGAAAAAAATGTGTTTTAATATTTACGTGTTTTTTTTTTTATTTAGGGCCCCTTTATAACATATCCTACAGGCCCCGCACTAGCTTAATCCGGCACTGATACCACCACTCCCCACCCCTTCTTCCAACCCCCCCCCCCCCATGCCTCCCTCCCCTCCACCAAACCCTCTCATCCTCTCTCCCCCCCACCAACCCCTCTCATCCCCTCCACCAACCCCTCTCATCCCCTCTCCCCACCACCAACCCCTCTCATCCCCTCTCCCAACCCCTCTCATCCCCTCTCCCCACCACCAACCCCTCTCATCCCCTCCACCAACCCCTCTCATCCCCTCTCCCCACCACCAATCCCTCTCATCCCCTCTCCCAACCCCTCTCATCCCCTCTCCCCTCCACCAACCCCTCTCATCCCCTCTCCCAACCCCTCTCATCCCCTCTCATCCCCTCCACCAACCCCTCTCATCCCCTCTCCCCACCACCAACCCCTCTCATCCCCTCCACCAACCCCTCTCATCCCCTCTCCCCACCACCAACCCCTCTCATCCCCTCTCCCCTCCACCAACCCCTCTCATCCCCTCTCCCCACCACCAACCCCTCTCATCCCCTCTCTCCACCCTTCCATCCTCCCACACCCCCCTCCTCAACGCCCCTCCACCAACCCTCCTCCACCGACCGTCCATGCACGTGCGCTGTTGGGTGTCGCCGTCTGTGTTTACGCGTTTACTTTCTTCTTCTTGTTGTTGTTGGTCGGGCGTGGTTGCTGGGCAACCCGTCATCCTCTCGTGTGCCGTGCCGGACTTCAGAGGTGCTGCTTGCTAACAGAACCTGGACCGACAGTCCCGTTAAGGCTACACGGGGGATCTTTGTCTTCTCGTTTCATTGTAGTGTAGCGGTTAGCGCTACGAACCCAGCGACTCGAGTTCGATCCCCGCTCGCGGCCAACACCGGTGACGATTTCATGAACCGGTACTGGGTCTCCCCTAGGTCGACTCAGCCTTAAACGAGTACCATGGTGCGGTGTGTAAGCATCAGCAGTGTGGAGACAAAGGCGGCCGGGCGTGGTGCTGGCTACCCCACCCCCTCGTGTGCTCGCTTTTGCAAAATCAGGTTCACATCTGGCCAAATAGTTGGGATCTGCACGGCGAATTGTCGAGACGTGTGCACGTGCGCAGTTGCGAACTGCGACTGGCTGTTATCATCATCCCGAGTGCACGGTTCAATGGCTTTGTTGCGCAAATACTCTCGCTCAGATGTGGACAAGGCAGTTGCGGGCAACTATGAAGTTGCGCGAGTTTGAGAGCGATAGGTTGCGCAACTGATCGCTCGGTGGGGAGCGGTGGCGCACTTGTTAGCGCACTGCGCTACAACCCCCCCGCCACGTGGCACCTGAGTTCGATTCTCGCTCGCGGTCAACACGAGTGGTCATTATCTGAATCGGTCACGGGGGTACCCCCGAGGTGAAACTCAGCATTAAAGGGGTACTTGCTGACGGTGTTAAAACCCGTCTCGGTATCACTACTCGCGAGACAAACTCTGTTAGTGAAAGTTATACAGATCAGGTGCTCGCACCGACGACTGTAAGTTTCTTTAAATAACAGCGCCAACGAGTGCTTCTTTTTAATTATTATCATCCAGAGACACGTGCTCAAGCGAATTGCCTGACGTCAACAAAGCCGATGGGCCTCCGACCGCAGTCTATGCACTGCGCGCACGTGGCGACGTTTTTTTATTTCACACGAAACGGTTTCAATTTAGGTGTGTGCAATTGTCATGCTTGCTCCGAGTGTATACCGCCGTACGGATACTGCTGTGCTGCTGAGTTTCGTAGATGTCGGTGCAGGAGTTTTTGTATAGTTCTTGATGACACACGAAGTGATCTCAGACAGGCGGTGACTATAGTTCAATATTTCCCGAGGCCGTAGTAAAATCGAGCCTGGCGGATTTATTGTGAACACATGCAGCGAGGCATTTGTGGCATTGTTTTGCATAAGAACAATATATACATCTGTTCCACACCACATATTTCAATGTAATATACTGTATGTAAACACTTTTACTCGATAATCTCTGACTGGTAACATTCGGTAAACTTTAAAACTGTGCTTCCGATGTGTTCTATGTACGCTACGTGCAAATAGAATCATTGCCGGTATATATATAATAAAAAAACATTCGAAAATAAACGTCAGTGCACGTTGCAAGAACACACGTAGATTGAACAAACTCCACGTGTGCTCTTGCAAATGCATATTTACAAATATTTGATTAAATTCTCATTTCTATCGATGTACAAGTTCGCATCGTCATACGCACTTTATAAGGGTAGCGGGTCTCCCTTGACACAGATTCACCTGTTGGTCCCCTCTGGGTCTCTCATCTGGTTATTTGTCTCGGCTAAGGTGAAGTATGGTCAAAGCCTTCATCCAGCAGTGGATTGTCAAAGGGCTGCACGTGGTACCATATCATCATCGTCATCATCGTCATCATCATCGTCATCATCATCGTCATCATCAGCATCGTCATCATCATCGTCATCATCATCATCGTCATCATCATCGTCATCATCATCGTCATCGTCATCATCGTCATCATCATCGTCATCATCATCGTCATCATGATCGTCGTCATCGTCATCATCGTCATCATCGTGATCATCATCATCATCGTCATCATCGTCATCATCGTCATCATCATCGTCATCATCGTCATCGTCATCATCATCGTCATCATCATCGTCATCATCGTGATCATCATCATCATCATCATCGTCATCATCATCATCGTCATCATCGTCATCATCATCATCGTCATCATCGTCATCATCATCATCATCGTCATCATCATCGTCATCATCATCATCATCGAGACCTCCCTCGTCCCTCTCACAACATTCTCAACCCATTTCGTCACTAGCAATGCCCGAAAATGAAAATACCTAATTGACGACGTTTCGGGCAAGGACCCGTCCTCACAACAGCTCGCGACTGCGATTAACCGCCCCGGGTTCAATCTCGGTCTTTTCTAACTAAAGCAGAGCCAGCGCATCGTGGCATTTCGCCGCGTATCCGTGTCCGTTCCCCTGCGCGATGGCTTCGGGCAGTGGTTCCCAGCATCTCAATTCCTGGAGACCCATCACGCTACGCATTCTTTATGATTACCACCACCCTCCCCCGGTCATTTTCAAATTAAACAACGTTATCTGGTCATGCTGCTGCTGCTGCGTTGGCAGTGGTGCACAAGCACAACTAACAGCAGCAACAAAATTCGTTAATGACACCGTGGCCCTTAAAAGGAAAATCGTGTATTATGCGACGTTTTCAGCAACGGCGAACCCAATAATTGGTGGATAACTTTATTAATATAGAGTGGACCGCAGAGCTTGGAGGGGGGCATTTGGTGCCGGCTCACCGCTTGGCTGCCTTCCCGCTTGTGGCTGCCACCTCCTCGTGTCTCCGAGTCCGTTCTGTCTCTTCGGAAGGGAGCCTACGTGATGCGACGTGTGGCAAGTTGGGATTATCATTATTATTACGGTATTTGTATTGAGCCAGACGTGCCGTTTAGGGTCTCTATCACGGCTGGGGTTTGGGACAGTCGAAGAGAAAGCCGTTTGAAAAAATTGTGATAAAACCTCCAAACGTTCTTGTACCCTACACACGTGCGTGTGGATAGAATCTTATCCTCAGGGGTATACAGATTCGATGAATTTCCACCAAGCAAAGCTGTGAATCGATGTAAATATCGGTTATTTTAGATATTTTATGTTGCCGGCGTCTGGTTTGGATCGCTTATCGATTGTTTCATTTGCTCTGTGAGTCTTGTTTAAATCCTTTATATTAAGTTCGCGTGCTTGCTTGCTTGCTTGCTTAGGACCGTGCAAATCTTTCCGTCGTTTTTAACCCACTTCCCGTGATCCAATCGAGCTGACATTTTCGACACAGACTCGTTGTGCCAGACAATTATTGTTCGTGAAAAAAAATTCCCAAAATTTTACACTTTTTAGGCAAAACAAAATTATTTTACATATATTCAAATAGAACGCATTCATAGCTTTGGCTGAACATCACAGTGCAAGAGCCCAGAGCGTAACCCCTCCACAGGCCGTGGTGGAGTAGCGCAGTTAGTAGCGCCCTCGCTTCCCATGCCAAAGGTCGCGGGATCGATCCCCGCGTCCTCCACAGGCGAATATATTTTTAAATCCTTTATATTAAGTTCGCTTGCTTGCTTAGGACCGTGCAAATCTTTCGCTCGTTTTTTAACCCACTTCCCGTGATCCAATCGAGCTGACATTTTCCACACAGACTCGTTGTGTGTGACAATTAATTTTCGTGAAATTTTTTTTCCAAAATTTTACACTGTTTAGGGAAAACTAATTAAATATTTAATTACCAATTGCTTAATACTGGCAGACAATCATCTGACCCATAGATTGCAGCCATCTCAAGCCAGAGGACGAGAGAAATCTAGCCGCCACGCATATAAAGGATTTAGAGTGAAAAACTTTGTTTTTACGGGTTTACTTTATGTAAGATTGAGTTCGCTCAATTTAAAGTCTTAAAGTCTTAAAGTCACTTTATTGTCAAGTGTGTTACATGCATGACATACAACACAGATGAAATTACAGTCCTCTCTCTTGGTCCCACGGTGCAACCAAGCAATTAAAAAAATAATCACAATTAACAGACATAAATAAACAATAAACAATCGGCGATCAACACAAGATAAATAATAAAA